TAAGTCATGTTTTACAAGTTTTATTTAGAGTATAGGGATCTAGTTTGGCGTTTACAAGCCGGCCCGAGATACTATAGATATAAAAAGCAAAAATACCAATCACAATTAAAAAAACAAAATCTGCAACTTTAACATACAATTGAAATCTTACCATATATCCTTCCAGTTTCATGCTCTGTAAGTAATTTTGGGCAATTGGTATGAGATTTTCCAAAGACGTAAAGGAATACGAAAGAAGCTTGAAGATGCCTTTCCATGTGCTTGCACATATTCTATTAATTTTAAACCGTGGAAACAAACTCGGTATCCTTTTCTTTTTTTCTCTTTTTTTTTCCCTTTTTGGTACAAAATTTAGCTTGTGTTCGGTAATATATATCAAAATGTACAAATTTAATTCATGCTAAGAAGTAAAATTATTCACTTGTTGATAGGCATTAATTGCAATTTTATTCCAGTCAATTAATTTGTTTGTATCTTAATTAATTGTATAAAATTTAAAGTTAATGATAATATAAATTTTTAATGACTTTAAGAGAATTTATATTTGTGATTATTAAGGAGCAAATTAAAAATCTGATAAATTAAATTACCCCTATTATTCATTAATTGCAATTCTTTATTTTGTTATGTTATGTTATGTATGAATTTTCATATTGTTATCATTATTAATTACAAATTACATTTGGGAATCAAGGCAAACTGATCTGGTAGGTGAAGTTGGAGCACCTAAATAACAATAAACTCAACGATTTAAAGTGGCTTATCATAATGGAAAGAGAGAAAAACTCTTACTAAATGCTTCTTTCTCAATGTCTAATATAAATATGATTTGTTGACATCCCACCTAACAATATATCCCAAAACACATGCGTAGATATCCCCTTCTCACTTTTTTTATATTTAGTGTGCGTCATGATTTTTATGCTTAAAAATATATATAAATTATAGGTTTTTCATTACTAAAATTTTAAAATAGATTATTTTTGTAAAATTTAGAAAAAACTATATTATATATAATCAAATACTTTTAATTAAAATTATAGTTAAAACAAAATATAATTTCAATTAAAACTCATCGAACTACCCAACAAGCCCTTAACAGCGATCTTCAAAGCCCTAGATTGCAAGTTGAGTATTTTCAAAAAGAACGGCACACGTTTGTTTACATCTCACTCAACGTTCAATAATCAGATCGCCTAGGTAGCTAGGCAGTGCGCTCACATTTGTATTCAAAGTCCAAGAAATGTTGCGTGCAAATTTAAGAAAGTACCCATGTGAACCCAAGCCTTCATTTACACTCATTTAGTTATTTTTTTCAATTTCCTTGTCGGCTCGATGGAGCCAAACATATACTGTGGAACAGGTTCTCAGAAACTTCTGCTACATTAATTACTCCGATCGGGTTTTATTAAATCAAGGGTCTAAATTATTATTATTATGATGATATATATTCACTAATCATTACAATCTGTTGTTATTATGATATATATTCACTAATCATTACAATCTGAGAAACAAAATTAAAATAACCATGGCCTGACTAGCTCAAAAACTTACCACTTTCTTTAATCAAACAAGTCTGATCAATCAAATAAAATTTTAGTAGCTTGGCTGCCTATTAGGAAATACAAGATAAGGACAGCTCAAGTAAATGCCACGTGAAACTTTATCATGGAAAAAAAACACTTTGTTATGACATTTTGGTTAACTAATTACCATCTCCTTTCCGATTAAGAACCTTTTTAAGGTTGTGTTTACACTGGAGTATCAGTAAAATTGATTTATTCTATCTTAAATTATTTTTTATATTTTAAAATTATTTTAATGTACTTGTATAAAAAATATTTCATGGGATATTAGTAGACATATATCCCATATTAAATAAACAAAAAATATAATTAATATAAAAAATGATAATGAACCACCTACTATATATATAAAATTTAACAATTAAATTAAAAAATTCGATGAGTCATTACTTCATCTAGCATCATAGAGCTGATCATCAGGTATATTTTACATTTGTAATACATGGTTGGTGCATCTAATGACACATGTATATTTTTTTTTTACCTTGAACGAATTGACTAACCAACTAATTAGATTTATGACTACCCAACATATCAGATTAATTCACTCTATCAGTCATTAGATCGAGCACTTACTGAAGTTCTCAGAGTTATATATATATATATATATATATATAAAGAATTGTTTAATCTTTACTTAAGCATTTAGTTCTGTTAAAATATAACTAATCTCTGAACATATTGCCTAATCGTTTCATAATTAATGTATCGGCTGATGAGATACATAGAAAACTGGGAGAGGGTTGAGATAGAATACCACGTGCTTGATTCAGAGCAAGGGAATTTTAGGATTGGATGATAATTAAGCGCAAGTTAGCCATAAAATTGCATTAAGAAAGAAAGAGAGAAAGAAGCACGGCATGTGGCACACCATGATTGACTCCACAAGTCACGTGAGTGGGGAACAGGAGTAAATAGAGAAAAATGATGGACAAAAAGGGCCTCTGAATGAAGAAAATTTTTGGGAGTAAGAAATCATAGCTAGCTGGACTTTTTAAAGTTCACAAAATTACTGTGAATTAAATAGTTTATATTTATAAAAAATAACCATTGCTATAATATTAAAAACAACTCTTAATTATATTGCCCGACACCGACAAAATTCAATATTTATTTAGAATTATTAAAATTAAAATTAATAAGTTTTTTTCATTATTTTTATACAATAACAGGATAATTTAATAATCATTAACATTTTGAATCATAAAAGAATCCTCATTTGAGTGGTACCATGTACATGGGAGCTGCAAAGAGGATAGCCCGAAATTCTGTGTACTAATTCTGAACAAGAAGAAAGAAATAAAGAGAAGAAAGAAGCCAAAGGATATCCCTCTCCATGTACGTTTGGTAGCTTCATTCCATTGCTGATTAGAATATCCTCTCCGAGGGAAGGGAGGGAGGGAGGGAGGCTTATTCTCTTCTCCTTTGCCATATTGCAGCACTGACATTTAGGCTGATTCCGATCCCCATTGTTGTACTTCCGAAGTCCCTACAACGGATCTGCTTCGAACCTCTCAAATCCCCATCTTTTTAAGTTTCGAACCATGAATTTCAGAACTCTATCTTCGACGGCAGACTAGCTAGACTGATGTCACATTGTGATTTGTGCGTGGTGAGCACGCTGTGACTTCCTTTCTAGGTTTAGCTCGAGAATAAAGTGTCAAGATGGCAACCTGGCTAGTGAAAGAGACAAAACCTAAAAGTCAGGTTTGATCAGGAATAAAGGGCATCGGTGAGAACACTTGCTTGGTAGGGAATTATCATGGCAGACAACTCCAAACTGAAAAGGATCGGAAAAAATATATGGAATATAAAAGAAAGGGTTTCTTGGAATCCTAAATTATCTCTATCTTTCCGAGCCAATCAATTCCATGACTTGTTTTTGACAGTTCTTTTTTCTTCTTCTTAATGATCAGTTTGATTTGATAATCTTTTCCCTGCATAATCTTCATTTTAACAATAAAAAAAAAATAACATGTTAAGAAAGTAGTCATATTTACATCACACTTCATAAATCATGTAATAGTATTAAATTTCACGTAGAAGATAGTAGATTTTTAGATAATTATTAAATTTAATTTATTTGATGCAAACCCAAGATAATAAATTAGATTAAAACAGATGAATTTAAATTTATATTATATTTTTAAAAAAAATATTTGTCTAGACTAATAAAACAAGGATTAGATTTTATAATTATTGTTTTTATATTGACAAGTAAAAGGTTTGAATCCGTACTTCATGAGGGGAGGAAAAGGTTAATGGTAATCAATTATAGCTTCATTAACTATAACATAAGAGTTTCAATATATCACTATTCAGTGTTAAATCTAGCATCACTCTTTATAGATTTTTTTTAACTATATCATTAAGTTGATGATTGAGAAAAAGTATTTATGAGTATGATAATAATTATTTTTTAAAATATTTTTAATTTAAAAATTTATTTAAATAATATTTTTTTAATTTATAAAAAAATATTTTTAGCATCAGTATATTAAAATAATATAAAATACTAAAAATTATTAATTTAAAAAACTAAAATATTTTTTAAAATAAACAAATAGCTATTGTAGAATCAAATGGATGTTTTCTATCGCTATAATTATAAAATTACCCTAAATAGCGTGTTGTAGAAGCTCTTTGGATGTTTTTCGTCGCTATAATTATAGCTATTGCAGAATCAATTGGATGTTTTCCATCGCTATAATTATAAAATTACCCTACATAGCGTGTTGTAGAACCTCTTTGGATGTTTTTCGTCGCTATAATTATAAAATTAAAGAGAATGAAAGGTTGGAAAGTTAGAACTTCACATCAGAGGAGATCAGTGCAAAGCAACGTAAGAACATGAGGAGTCAAGAAGAGGTCATGATAATGCTCTGTAATGATTCTGTTCTACATTTAACGAAACAATAATTGAAATCTCCACCGACCATTTGCCTCGGCATTCAAACAATTGACATTTGTATGGTTTTTTTGCATGTAAGAAACAAACGGAAAGTAGAGAAGACTGAATGATAAGGATAATTTTGATCTCCTCAATGATTCAATCCCCTCTCTATCAGCTCCTATTTCATGTCCAAAGACTCTAATAATTCCCATATGATGTATAAATCACAGAAGAGTTTCGGTTTGCCATCAGAAGATAGAAACTAATCTGCTAATTCGGACTCCAATTCGCATCCAAATCCATTTGGAAGTTTCCTACCAAACATTCATCATGACAAACAATATTCCAAGACATGAGATAGAACGCCATCCTCTCTCTCTACTAATACAGCCACCAGGGTCTTAATCATGCCTTACTGGCGCAATATAATGTGGCCCGGTTCTTGTGATGGGTATCTCATCATGTTCATAGAAGACGCCTCAGGACCCTATCCTTAGGCACCACAGCTTTAAAAAAAAAAGTTAAAAGCCAGATCATTTAGGTAAGGCAAACCTATGACAGAGCAGGTTCCTCCCCACTTGTCGGGTAGACCATAGTGCAGTAAATGTCTTATTATAATTAATATTTAAAACAATTAAAGAACTTGAACTTGAAGCAATAATGGCGAGGGAAACAGTAATTTGAACAATGTTTGTCATGTTACTGATGTGAATTTAACCAGCGCATGTTCAAGTTCTACCCCAGCGGCATCCTTGGAGGTTGCGAAAGGAGGAGGCTCACCTGGTATTAAAATAAAACAGGTAACGAAAGAAGATCACTGAAATTAGAAGAGCATATATAGACTGAATTTTGATGAAGCTTATAGTTCTTCGATCCATGTGGGCTGCTATGAGCAACACCTGTATGAGAACTGAAAAATGAAAAACCTTTTTCAAGGATATGCTTTGATGCTAGGGTGCCACTAGTAACCAAACTTCCACTTCCATAACTATGCCAAGACCTCTATCTCGCATGCCTTCGGACGGAGCTGAACAGTTCCCTGTAACAGCACACCATATGATGTAAGTGCAGCAACGCTGAGGATAAGAATGAGCAAGAGGTCTCCCGCTCAGCAAGACCGATAGAACAAATAAATAGCACTAACCAACACGTAGACCAGATGAAATTCCCACTATGATCCAAATAATAATATAAAATAAAGACAACATGATCCATATACAACAGCTCTGTCCCTCAAGTTCTGTAGCATCAATTGAATATGCAGATAAATTGCCTATGCACATATTTATCACAAATATAAAGTCATCCTTAAAACAATAGCAATGTACCAAGATTTCATAGAACAGATACATAGCACTAACCAACACGTAGACTAGATGAAATTCCCACTATGATCCAAATAATAATATAAGATAAAAACAACATGATCCATATGCAGCAGCTTTGTCCCTCAAGTTCTGTAGTAGTATCAATTGAACATGCAGATGAAATGCCTATGCACACATTCAATTAAACATGCAGATGAAATGCCTATGCACACATTTATCACAAATATAAAGTGATCCTTAAAACAATAGCAATGCACCAAGAATTCAAGGTGCCTCATCAACCAACTGAATAGATGGCGCGATCGCATTGATAATAATATTTGTAGCTCATCTCAGATCTCCACTCTAGTAAATGTCCTAGGCCATCTGGCTTTATATTGTGCTCAACAGATTAATTTTCAGTGCTTATATTACAGATGGCTGGTTGATTTCGGGATGGAATAATTACTGTAGAAAGGATGTTTAAAGACATTCCACTTCATATCAGGGCTATACAAAAAAAAAGAAGAAAAAAGAACTTGGCATGGCAATCACTGCAATCGCAAAATTAGAAGCAAATCAAAAATAAAAATAAAAACTTGGCATGACTGTCACTGCAATCGCAAAATTAGAAGCAAATCTTCTAAAGCAGCAGGCAAGGGTTAACCAAGCTTCAGATCCCTGCGCTCTTCAAACGCAGGAATCAGAATTCCCACGTATATGCACACCAATCAAGATTTATGAAATGCATTCACTAGAATTTTAGTTAATCTGAATATGGGTAAAATGAAAAAATGAAATGCTGGAACAAATACCAAAAAGAGAGTTGAAAAAACATACGGAATGTTGCAAGCTAAAGCCGTTTCTACTTTCCAATGCAGCACTGTGCCCGAAGCTTGTTCATGTGGACAAAACTAGCATACACATCAGCTGTGAGAGCTTCTGATAAGGACTTTTCTTCATCCATATTCAAGAAACCTGACATGCATCTTCTAGTAAGAAAATATACAACAACAAAGGTGAATTTGGCATTTTGCCAACACGTCAGAACCCTTATAGAATGTTAAACTGATCTAAAATTATTCAACCATAAGGCACAAATACATCCATTTTGACTGCATCACATTATCATCATATCATAGCCTACCTAAATTTATAATTTTAAAACAAAAACAGGATCAGTACCAACAAGAAAAATGTGGCGAAAAACTTATAATACATACATGTTTTGGTTTCACAAGCAATAATTAAGAACTAGCAATATAAGGTGTAAAGTCTACTTATTCAGAGAACACATTTCAGAAAGCGGGGCACCAGTTCTTTCATGTATCAAACAAGCTGAAATGGAAGAAATCTAAAATATCAATGAAACAGCAATCATATAACTTGTACAGACATCATTTCAGAAAGCTTAGACACAGTTCAAAAACCTACATAAGAACAAACAGGGGATACAAAAAGTCGAATTAAGAACTAACAAATATATATGATTTTGAAAGATGTAGTTCCGTATGCTAACTTTACCTTGATTGTTTGATTGGTATATTTATACATGAATGTTCAAATAATTGAGTTAAAAGCACTAAATTAGGCAGTTCCTCAAATCTCAACTCTAGCAAATTCCGAGACACTAAAGAAAGCAGGCTTGCCTTTCAAAAGGTTCAAAAAAAAAAAAAAACTAGAAAACTAGCATTTACTCTTGACATATGAACATGCATTTCCTCCAAACCTCAACTCAAAACTCTCTGACCAGAAAACTAGCATGTGTGTTCCAAAAAAGTCTATTTACCACTTGACATTAACAAGAGTTTTACAGAAAAACTCGTAGCCTGATTGAAAAGCTCTACTTGCTATTTATCCCCTAAGGATATTTATCTCTTCTTTTTTTTAGTTTTTAATATTGGCTTAATAAGATAAATGGGATCCACGTGAGAATTGTATTTTTAAGATCATTCGTATAAAAACATAAT